GAGGCTGAGGTGGGTGGATCACGAGGTCAGGAGTTCAAGACCAGCCTGACCAACATGGTGAAACCCTGTCTCTACTAAAAATACAAAAACTTAGCCGGACGTGGTGGCACGCGCCTGTAACCCCAGCTCCTCGGGAGGCTGAGCCAGAATAATCGCTTGAACTCAGGAGGCGGAGGTTGCAGTGAGCTGAGTTCATGCCACTGCACTCCAGTCTGGGCAAAAGAGCGAGACTCTGTCTCAAAAAAAGAAAAAAAGTAAAAGAAAAAGAAAAAAGTCCCCTCCACCTGAAGAAATCTAAATATAAAACTGAAGGAAGAAATTGAGTAATACTATACTGCCCATTTAATTACCCAATTAACATAAATAAAGGCTGAAGAACTTTAAGGAATAAAAATATTTTTTAAAGTTCCTATCTCAGAAATGGAAAATTTTTGCATGACTTGTAATATAGGGGGGAAAAACACAGAATTTTCCAGCAGGGAGTCATGAGGTGGAGGACAATTTAATCAGTGTTGTCACAAAGCAGTACAATTCAGTACCTCACTCCTGCTTATTGACTTTTTCAAAATTCTTCGGTTCTGGTATAGTTTGGTGAAGATAACACAGACCATTTAGAATAGATGCAGACAATCTGGGAAAGGAGTACAGCAAGAGGAAGGGTGCCTTGAAAACTAGAACCACAGACCAGACCCATTCTTGACCAAGAGTTGAAGTTAAAAATGCAAGAGGTTTAGGAACCCACCACAGCAAAAAGAGTGAACATCTAGGACTCTTGAAACTAACTTGTATGCTTTCTATGTGCCAGACAAATTTCCCCAATAACAACATGAATCAGGAATTAGACAAAATAGAGATTCAAAGAGAACAGTGGCTTGCTTGAGATGAAGAATGAGTGAATAATGGCTATACAGTTTGTGTAACGCCCAAATTTAACATTCTTGCCATAGAACATGAAAAGGAGGCCTGGATTCAGAGGCAAAACATGAGTACAATGCATGGAAAAGGCAAAAAGTGGCTAGGCACAGTGGCTCATGCCTTTAATTCCAACACTTTGGGAGGCTGAGGCAGAAGGATCACCTGAGTCTAGGAGTTTGAGAGACTAGTCTGGGCAACACAGTGAGACCCATCTCTAAAATATATAAATATTAAAGAAATAGCAAAAATCTAAAATAGGCATCACAAACTAACAAGGACTACAGAACACAGTACATAGTGATATGCACACGAATTTACTAAATCACAAGACTACCCCAAACTCACAATTCCAAGTCAGATTTGTTCATGTTACTTATTTATTTTATATGTAGGAAGTAAATAGAAGAAAACAGCATAGGAGCAAAACATAAATTACAAAGAGATATATCTAAAATGAAGAGATGCTGTTAGTTTTGCTTCAATCTCTTTTAGTTGTAATTTGCCTGCATATACTGAAATAAAATCTGACAATAGAGTGTTGTATGAGCCATCTTTTTAACATGGCCTATTTGTATTATGCATACTAAAAGGAAAAAAAATTCCCTCTAAACAACACAGAACAATCCAACATGGAAAGCCTTACAGAAATATTTGTGGGACTACTTTTCTAGCTGTAGAATTCATACATTACATCTGATTATTAATTAAATCTTGCATTCAAAAAAGCATGACATTCAAATATAAAGGTGGCAACAGAAAAATGAGATAGAAACACAAATAAAATGAAGCATTAAAACAAAACTGAGAAAGGCTGAACTTGTATCAAATATCAAGAAACATTAAAATCCTCGTAATTTGAAAGAAGTAAAAGGCAGAGAGAATTGTGCACTTTAACCCCCCAAACTAAATAAAAATGTACTTACCCCAAATGCCCAGATTATAAACAATCCAGATTCTTAAATATACCAAATTTATTTGAAATAGATATTTAAAAGCTCCCCTTTTTCTCCTCCTAATCTTCAAAGCTCAATCGGAGACCAGTCTTCCTCCTCCTCTCATTAGCTGGACATGTGTCAGCTCTCTCACATCTGCGATTTCTCACTGACTAGAGCTGCCTGTCCCATTCCAGGGAAACACAGATGGATCCCAGATGGGAAGGTCCTGCCAAACAGACCAGCTCTTCACCTTGCCAGAATCCCCAGATACAGTCAGTCTCTCTCTGTCTCTCTCTTTTTCTCCCTCCCTCCTGCTTCCTCTCTCTTCACTACCCTTCCAACCCTCCCTGTTACCAGGGCTCTTTGCCAGCTGATGTCACTAAGTACACACCTCCCAGTGGCTCCTGGCCAATCTGACATTAACTTGTTAAATACGTGTAATTTGTTTATGGCTGACAATAACAGCAAGGATATTGTGCAAAACCTATCTGTGCAAGTCCCTAGTGGAATAACATGTAGAGACACACACAGACACACAGACTCACATTTTTGGGAACATTCAAATGTTTAGCAATTACCATTTAAAGTCCTACATACTGTTTGATTTCTGCTATTGTTTAATAGCTTCTCCTTTTTGAGCCAGTTTTTAAATCCTACATATGACAAATTCCTTCTTAAATTATTAAAAATATGTTTTGAACATGTAATTGGAAGAAAAATATAAAGTTGCAAATTAATTTGGGGAATATAAACAGAAATGTATGTAAATGAGTCACACAAGCTGCCTCTCAGACCCAGACTTGGTAGCACTGCAAAACTGGCACGTGATTAAAAAAAGACAATGCAGGCAACATGGTTCTGATACTGTGAAGATTATAAATGGAATATGGGAACACAATGAAAAATTGTGTTAAAACAGCAAATATAAATGTGAGAAATAACATAATGTTTAACATTAAAATAACTGCTAATATAAGTGTCAACGATAAGTAGCCAAAACAAAACATATTTTTAGAACAGTAACAGTGAAAATCCAGAGAGATGACAGAAACCCAAAAGGTCAGAGTTTAATCCTTTATACGTTAAAGAGCTAGCATATAATAGCTGCTCAGTCAATTTCTGCTAAATGAAAATCGATGGTTGACAATTGATATTATAGTATAGTTAAAGAAAACGTTCCCACTGGGGCAAACTGGGTGAAGGGTCCAATGGACCACCCTGTACATTTCTCATTATAACTTCCTGTAAATCTGTATTTTAAAATAAAAAGTTAAAAGATTGGGGGTGGTGGCAGCCAGGTGCAGTGACTCACACCTGTAATCCCAACACTTTGGGAGGCCAAGGCAGGCAGGTCGCTTGAGCTTAGGAGTTTAAGACCAGCCTGGGCAACATAGTGAGACCCCATCATTAAAAAATAAAAGAAAAAGAAAGGCTGGGCACCATGGCTTATGCCTGTAATCCAACACTTTGGGAGGCCGAGGCAGGCAGATCACGAGGTCAAGAGATCCAGACCATCCTGGCCAAAATGGTGAAACCCCGTTTCTACTAAAAAATACAAAAAATTAGCTGGGCATGGTGGTGCACACCTGTAATCCTAACTACTCGGGAGGCCGAGTCAGGAGAATCGCTTGAACCTGGGAGGCGCAGGTTGCAGCGAGCCGAGATTACGCCACTGCACTCCAGCCTGGTGACAGAGCGAGGTGTCTCAAAACAAAAAACAAAAAACAACCAAAAAGCAAAAGCAGAAAAAAGATGGCAGCAAGGGGGGGTGGTGTCTTGGCTTCTTCCAGGGTTATATTACATGACACATACCCTAACTAAAATCTACATGAACACAGATTCGGCATGAAAGATCCTCTGCATATATATAGATAATCAAACAGATGTGGTTATAATTCTCTAACCTTTAACCTTCTACCATACTTGGGATATATCTGTAATCTGTGACCAATTTTTCTGTCATGGCAATTTTTGGCAAATAGGAAGGAAGACTATTTCTGTCAAGGGCAACTTAATGGCTAGATTTTAGGGCTTCAGTTCATACCAGTGATGGTGATAATAATAGTAACAGCAGCAGGTTCAGTGTTGGCCATGTGTACTCACTAAGAGTACGACTATTCTAATTCCCTGCATTGCCACAAAGGTCCTCTATTGAGGGACCTATAAGGTAGGTATTATTATCTCAAAGTTATAGCTAAGGAAAGTAATGTTCATATAAGTTAATGTCACATAGCTAGTGTCAGCATCAGGTTGTTTGGATCCACAGCCAGAGCACTATAACCCACCGTTGATGAGAAAATGAATCCAAAGATGTTGCTGGCTGTCTTGGATCACTTGTTCTCAAGGAACCCAGCTACCATGTCATGAAGACAACTCAAGCAGTCCTAAGAGCCTTCCACATGGAAGATCTCTTGCCAATAGCCATTATCAAATTGCCTGCAATGTAAGTAAGCCATCTTGACAGCAGACACCAAGCCACTACCATCCAGCTAAGGCATCTCAGAGCTATGATCCACAGAAACCACGAGATGATAAATATTTATTGTTACTTTATCTTATTTTTTAGGTGAGAGTCCAGGCTCAAATTTATTGTTACTTTAAAAGAAAAAGATGGGTCTTTCACGTCTAGCAGCTGGACTATGGATTCTAAATAGCATTTCCCAATAATAGGAAGTAGGGTTCTTTGGGAAAACGGTCGACTCCAGGTACACGGCTAAAAATGTATAAAACGTGTCATAACAGAAAGCAACTAGGCTATCAAGCACTTCTGGAGTTATGGCCCAAGGACATAAAGAGAGTCAACGTGAAGAGGCTCCCACTAAAAAAGATGGGATAATTTCAGGAGCAATAAAAAATACCTGCAATTGGGACAGGCATGGTGGCTCACACCTGTAATCCCAGCACTTTGTGAGGCCAAGGAGGGCAGATCACCTCAGGTCAGGAGTTCAAGACCAGCCTGGCCAACATGGTGAAACTCTATCTCTACTAAAAATGTAAAAATTAGCCAGCTATGGTGGCACATGCCTGTGGTTCCAGCTACTCAGGAAGCTGAGGCAGGAGAATCACTTGAACCTGGGAGGCGGAGGCTGGAGTGAGCCAAAATCACGCCATTACACTCCAGTCTGGGTGACAGAGTGAGACTCTATCTCAAAAATAAACAAGAAACTGAAATTGATTGAAACACAACAAAATGTTTAAATCACGAGTTCAGAATAGCACCTATAAAAAAAACTAATTGATTACTTATCTTCTGGAGAATACTTGAGAACCAAACTCATTATTCTAAAATCTGGTAAATCAAGCATTTCATCTGTCTTTCCTATATGAACTGTATCTCCAGTTAAGTTGAAGAAAATTGTTGGGTACAATGTTGGTTATTTGGATGACGGGCTCACTAGGAGCACAAACCTCACCACTATGAAACACAACCATGTAACAAAGATGCACATGTACCCCTGAATCTAAAATAAAAGATGCAAGAATTCTCCCCCAAAAGAGTTGGTGAAAATTGATCTCTATTGAAATAATCCAACTAATAAATGACAAAATAATATACCTGGAATATCATCATTTTGTATATCCCTAATGAAAAAAACAAATCTAGCTAATCATCATCAGTTGCCACTATTATAAAATGAGAGACATCTGGAAATTAATATGCCTCCTAATGAAGCATTTTTGACCCAAAAAACAAGGAAAACTGAGTCTGATTGAGCCAATTTATAAAACATTGAGGGAATGTAGGAACATGTTAATGGCAAGATGACGATGCAATTAGCAAAGTCTAGAATGTGGAAAACTTTATAGTCCAAGCAACCGAGATTCTTAGGAAAAGAAAGGGAGATGGAGGGAGTTAGAGGAGAACCTACATTAAGAGAGAAATAACTGCCTGGTGCAGTGGCTCAAATTTGCAATCCCACTGCTTTGGGAGATTGAGGAGGGCTTCTCACTTGAGGCTAGGAGTTTGAGACCAGCTTGGCCAACATGAGGAAACCATGACTCTAGTAAAACCACAAAAATTAGCTGGGCAAAATGGCACACACCTGTAATCCCAGCTACTCAGCTGGCTGAGGCAGGAGAATCACTTCAATTCAGGAGGCAGAGGTTGCAGTGAGCTGTGATCGTGCCAGTGCACTCCAGCCTGAGTGACAGAGTGAGACAGAGTCCCAAAGTAAAAAAAAAAAAAAGGAAAGGGAAATAAAAGACCTAAATGCAGCAGGGCACAGTGGTTCATGCCCACAATCCCAACACTTTGAGAGACCAACACTTGAGTGCAGGAGTTTGAGACCAGCTTGGGCTACATACCAAGATCCCATCTCTACAAAAAAATTACAAAATTAGCCAACTGTGTTGGGGCATGCCTGCGGTCCTAACTACCTGAGAGGATAAGGTGAGAGTATTGCTTGAGACCAGGAGTTTGAGGCTGCAGTGAACTATCCCAACAACTGCACTTCAGCCCGGGTGACAGGGTAAGGCCCTGTCTCTTAAAGTACATAGACATAGAAATACACATGCAAATACACTTTCATATACATACTTCCTAGCTGTTTGCTGAGAGGTTCTAGAAGCAATGATCTCTTGTAAAAATGAACATCCACATCTTGATTTCCAAACTACATTTTCTACTAAAACCAAGGATCCTTGGAGAAATAGCTGATCTTGGGTAGGACAGGGAAAGCAAAAGATAAGCATGCAACCCTTTGTGCAATAAAGTAACAGACTACTCAATAATGACAGAGTTATGTCAAAAGAACACTAAAGCCAATTAGAAAGCACTACCACTGGAATTGTGGAACAATTTAAGGATCAAAATAAATAATGATAGCAATTAATTAAAGCATAATCCATAATTTTTCTGATCAACAAAGAAGAAAGGAAAACATTCCTTCATTAAAATGCCAACATGTAAATATAGAAAGAACAATGGAATTAGAAAATGACCACTAGTTGGGTGCAGTTGCTCATGCCTATAATGCCAGCACTTTGGAAGGCCAAGGTGGAAGAATCACCTGAGACCAGGAGTTCGAAATCTGTTTCGGCAAAATAGTGAGACCTTGTCTCTAGAAAAAAAATTAAAAATTAAAAACAAGAAAAATCACCACTTGGATGCTGAGACTACTAGTAAACAGGAAATTAATTAAAAAAAAAAAAAGTCAACATCATCTCAAAATACACCCAACAAATTACTAATTAATCACAAAGAGAAAATCAGTAATTCTGCAGTGTAGTAACCTGGCAGACATGACCTTTAAATGATTAACCAAAGGCCGGGCGTGGTGGCTCACGCCTGTAATCCCAGCACTTTGGGAGGCCGAGGCGGGTGGATCACGAGGTCAAGAGATCGAGACCATCCTGGTCAACATGGTGAAACCCTGTCTCTACTAAAAATACAAAAAATCAGCTGGGCATGGTGGCGTGTGCCTGTAATCCCAGCTACTCAGGAGGCTGAGGCAGGAGAATTGCCTGAACCCAGGAGGCGGAGGTTGCGGTGAGCCGAGATCGCGCCATTGCACTCCAGCCTGGGTAACAAGAGCGAAACTCTGTCTCAAAATAAAATAAAATAAATGATTAACCAATCACTAATATTGAGACACACTGATAATGTGCCTCCCTAAATGAAGCATTAAGGAGAATACAACCCTTCTATAGTATTCCAGCCCAAAATTCATAACATTAATATAATCAAAAGGAAACAGCAACAAAACCCAAATTAAGTACAAAACAACTGGTCTGTATTGAAAATTGTGATGGTCAAGGAAAGGCAAGTAGAAGAAGGGGAGGATCAGGCAGGCTGAGGAACTGTTTCAGAATAAGGAAGATTAAAGAGCCACACGGTGGCTCACACTTGTAATCCCAAAACTTTGGGAGACTGAGGATGGTGGCTTGAGCTAAGGAGTTAGAGACTAGCCAGAGCAGCATAGTGAGACTCCATCTCTACTAAAAGTAAAAAGATTAGCCAGGCATGGTGGCATGCGCCTATAGTCCCAGCTATTTAGGAGACTGAGGTGGTGGGATTGCTTGAGGCCAGGAGGTCAAGGCTGCAGTGAACCATTATCGTATAGCCTTGGAAACAGAGTGAGACCCTGTCTCTAAGAGACAAGAAAAAAGAAAGGGGAAAGACAAGGAATAAAGAGGGATGCCAGTTAAATTCAGTGTGTGATCACAGATCGAATTAGATTAAAGTATAAAGGCGATAAAAGACATTATTGAAATACTTTATAAAATCTGAATGGTATTATGGTATTATTACATTTTCTGATTTTGATAATTGTACTGTGGTTATGTAAGA